AAGATAAATAATTATTTGTGTGAATAAAAACCTGGTTTCTTTTATACACTATTTATGCATTTTTTACACTACTGGAAATAATATTGATTTAATATATAATGCATTATCATTATTGAAATATCGATCATTATTGTACTACAACGTCGTGTTAAGCGAACAAATACGTTCGACGATGGAAAATAACTCATTTAACGGACGAAATTACTTGAATTTGAAATTAATGAATAGCGGAATTATAAATGTAAATAATCTATCATGCAAATTTTGTGTTAGTCTCTCGTGTAAAAATGCTGGCGGATAAATTTATGGCAATTTTTATGATGGCAGAAAAAGTGTCGAAAAAATACTAAATATAAATAAACGTATTACACATTTCAGATACACATATTTCATATATTGAGATATATTTGTTATTCAAACAAATTTTATAATCTATATATAATACAATAAGATATTATATATGGAAGAGCTTTCATTAAAAATTTTTATTAATATAATATATTACCATAACTAATATAATTAAATATAAACAAATTTAGAGAAATAATTAAAAACCGAATCTTTTCTCTCGCATAACTGCAATTTTGAATGTTTAAAAATTGATAAAGCTACAAGTTGTCTACTTATAAAAAAAAATATTGAACGATACATGATGAAATGTTTGGCATTACTAGAAAATGGCCGAAAATTGATGAGAATTGTTGTTTCGAGGGATCTGAAATAAGCCTGCCGTCTTGTATAGCCGGAGAGTATTGCTCGCAGAGTCGATGTCGATTATACGAAACCAGCAACGTCCATATCCACCCTCATCCTGATCCCAGGTGCTTCCTGGGAAACAGCTGCCACGGCGCACGCGCCTCGCGCCGACGAAGAAGTGATTGATCAATTTTTAAAAAGCAATGTTCCTAATTGACCCGCCGCGCCGGTTCGCTTTACGGCAGGCTCGTTTATATCTTACGAGAAGGCGTCAGTCAGGGCATCTTAGTCATCGAAAGGTGTGTTCCACTGCGATTCATGCCAGTTGCTCATCCTCGGACACCATTTCGAGTCCGCTCGCCAACAATCAAACATTCATATCGACCGTCGTTCATCGTTTGAACATCGTTCATTAACTTATTAACAACTGCTGCCTAGAATGTAAAATGTTTTGGTTCGAGAATACCGTCACGATTGGAACTTGGATCAATTCTTTATAATATTATTTGTGGCATGGAAGGAACACACGAGGAATAAAAAACGCGGTCCAAAGTTAGTCGTTTTACGTCGCGTATCTTTTTTCATATTTTTTCGCACATATAATTGTTGTTTTATTATATTTTCTGATAATTTTATAATTTAGATTTGATGCATTATATATTATCACATCATGTATACCTACATTATTATAACATGCATATAATGTATTTTAATCTAATTAATACAGTTTAGCCGAGGAGAAATAAAAACTAGCATTGATGCTAGTTGTTTGATGTTTGATTAATAAATTAACGATGACACTACGAAGTGAATGAAATATCGTACTTTTATACTGCTTCAATTATTGTACATACATACATCGAAAGTTTTAATACTAAAATCAGAGAGCCTATGAAATTGGCAAAAATACAAATATCGCTTCTCGCGGACGCAGACCTATCGATTCTACGTATGACAGCGATTATCGAATGAATTACAGTAGTGCATTGTCTCACGTGCGATGCAATAAATGATGCTAATTTCATTGTGTCATATCCTGCCTCACATTGAATCGAAATCTCGATGTATTTTCGAGCGATAATTTCCGCAACGATTGTAATAATAATTATTTTGTTACTTATATTCGTAAAGTACATCGAAGCGGACCAATTTTAGCATAAATTATTTTTACACGGTACGCTAAAGAGATTGTTGCGGTACGTAAAAATTTTAGAGATTAATTGAAACAAGAAATTTTTTTAAATTATAAAATATATCTTTGTTAGGAAAGTAAGCTATAAAATTTTTAATATAAGATTTTTTTGGAAAAAATGTACAATTACTGATATATTTTGTGTAAAAAGAGATTAATACACTATCTCGTTAATTAAGATTTTTTGAAACTGTCTCTAGATTTAGAAACGTTTGTAGCCGTGTATCGATCGTTTCCAAAAGCAGACCTTGGAGATGTCATTTACCTTGGGAAATGGACATTAGATTGATTGCAATTATATTACTTATTTTTGGCACACGACACTTCGCATTAAGTTTTTCTTCTATTGTTCCTATTATCCAAAGATATTTAAAACTCAAAGTTATTTACGCATATATAGTTTACCTCTTCGTACATGTGTTATATTAAAGGGATTTTAATTACAGAATTATTATTGGTACCAGAGTTAGATATACATAACTATTGCAAACGTGTTTTATTTCTTTCGCATTAAAAATGAAAAATTTTACTTTTCCGGTCGTAAATTTGCCTAATGCATCGGTTTTTACAAGAGTTTTAATTAAATAATAAAGAGTTTGAACTTCTGCATGTATACTGGGATATTTTTACCACACTTTTAGTCGTTCTCCGATGTTAGGCTGCGGATTCAGGCATGAATAAAAAAACTTATCGATTGCTCGGCTTTCCGGTATCGGACGCATACGTCGAATGTACTCGTTCGCGCGTTGTTATTTCGTAACAGAAGTCATTAGCATCCGCTCGCGTTAATTAACGGAAGTTCTACCATATGTATATAGGCTCGATGCATCTGCGGGGTAGGGGGTGCACGTGATAATGCGCGATTTGCGCATAGGCAGTCTCTTTCTCTTTCTCTCTTTCTCTTCGTGCTTTTTCCCTCTTCTCATGTAATGGCGAATTATCCACGGGCTTTTAGCCGTGGTTTCATCGCAGTTCTACCGTGAAATCGACACGCCCACGACCGAGAGATTTGTCGGTAGAGTGAAGACGATGCGCGAAAAAAGGGTGGCTGAAAATCTGCCCTTATCACGCAGCTGCGTTTTGAAACGAGCGTAAAATTGATAAACATAAAACTGGTGTATAATTTTTGGTGAGATTATTACTTTGAAAAAGTTACGATGATAAGAAAAGTATGAGTTCATGTATGTGAGAATATATATACACATATCGCGCATGCATAGGTGTATATATATCTGATTTTATAAGGATGCAGTGAATTTTATGGAGATGGAGGAGAGCATGTTCGATTCTACGCCACTGACTGATATATAGACGTTGATTCGGTCCCAATGCACTTAACACCATCCAGCTCTAATGCCATTCTCTCGTCACAAGCGTCCATCCTTGAGAGTCAAGAGACCCGCCAGCTGTTATGAGCCTCCGACAAATATCACAGGAGGATAAATGTTAACTTAGCCAAAAATGACATCATTGTTCATGCTCAATTAAGATTTAACAGTAAGAAAGGGAAGATTACGTGTAAAAATTAAGAATGTGCGAGATGATCCTTTACGTCGAGTTATTTAAATTCACTATAATCATTCTAAAATTTCACCTAAACAGTTTAATATACATGGTATAATTCAGTTGTCATTTAATAAAAAAAAATTGAGAAATTATAGTGACTGTTCTTGACAAAACACAAATCCATATAAATTCAATATTGTCAAGTCAAAATCATGATATGTAAATCTTGAATCGATAATAATTAAGCGACGAGTTAAAGATCGCAAAATTCGTTTCGGTGAATCGGAGTATTCGTCCGAGGAAATCTCTCGAGTCCGACTCTTAAGACGCCTTCGAGTGCGTATGAGTGCAACGATTGCCTCATAGCAATACCTGAGGTGTACACTGGACCGTGTAAATCCCATATATCCAATTAGATTCGTATAATCCTCGTATGTTAGCCGAGGGTGTTCCTACCCCCTCGGCTACCGCCATCCCTCTTCTCCGCTCTTCTCTTCATGTGTGTCCTGCCGCTGTGCGTGTTTATACGTATGTGTAGGGTGGCGCAAGCGCGCTCTAATACTAAAGTACTAATTTATGGGCACATATGAGATGGCTATAGTGCGCGCTACCGTGCCAGAAAAGGGACTATAGTCTGCGGAGAAGGACGGAAGCGAGAGAGAGAGAGAGAGAGAGAGAGAGAGAGAGAGGGAGAGTGAGTGAGAGAGAGAGAGAAAGAAACTGTACTGCTAGTGGTGGTGCGTCAGTACATTGGTGGTGGTAGTGGCGAGATAGGGCGAGGGTAGCTAGGTATATCGGAGAACACAGAGGCGGGCTTTGCATGCGATATCAATAAATCAAGTCCCCGGGACCCCGGCAGCTTAGGGGGCCACTACGTGGCCAGAATCAACAGCTCATAACGTCGGCTAATAGCTACCCGCGGTGGGGTCAAGATATTGTCGTAACACCGAGGGACACCTTACCATCGCGATGGTTGGATTTGGTCGCGTCCTATTGAGGGGGAAAAAAATGTTATCGCGGGCAAAGAAATGATCGAGAACATACGAATCTCGATCAGCAACTGAAGCTTTGTTGCAAGAATGATAATCGGTTCAGTGACATTATCCTTGTTATATGCGACGAAGAGGAAGCGTTATAGAAATTGGATTGGTTTTTAACGAATCGTCGATCGATGCAATCCTTTGTGAGACGATAAACAGTAGCAAAGAAATGTGAGAGAATCCTCACGTAACGCGAACACACATACACACTCAACGAGAATTATAAAATATATTGATGAATTTGATTTACTGTATTAATTTATTATGCATTTACGTTAGGTATGTAGCATATTTTTGTATATGAATGTATAATTATTTGTTGCAATGAAGTGTATTAAAATTATAATTATTTTTATGTAACTTTTTATAGATTTACTTGAAAAGGGCTGCAATGACAGCCGAAACGTTGTATTTCAACTAACTATTTATAATAAATGATTGCCAGTTTGGTCGACTTTTAACTTTGAGGAGAGATTTTTATAAAACATATTGTTGATCTACGTGGGGAGAAATTTCTTTCTCGAACTATAGCGACAACGACTGATAGCTCTCGTTTTGTGTTACAGGTATGGTTTCAAAATCGACGAGCCAAATGGAAGAAGCGCAAGAAGACGACCAACGTGTTCCGGTCTTCAGGATCGCTGTTACCGTCGCACGGCTTGCCTCCCTTTGGACCGATGAGCTCCGACTTGTGTAGCGGAATGTTCCATACCCCCGCGGACAGATGGGGAATGGGAACAGGTCAGATATCAATAGTCACTTTTATTACTTTACCGCGTACCAAGAAATGAGAGATAAAAAAAAAAGATTATATACGTCCGCGCTTGGACACGTTGATCGAGACAGGAAACGCTCTTTTGATCGTTTGCATTATTACAAAGAATCGGAGCATTGATTATTTTCCTGGCGTTTCGAAATGACATTTTTACACGGGACAAAGTTTTGTAAAAATTTCCTCAAACGTTTTATCTTCTCTGAACAATTTTTGTTTAAAGCGGTTATCAATTTCGCAAGTCATCGTCATCATTAAGAAAACGTTGACTGATATAATAAACATATGTGCATTGCGATGTAATATCAATATGTACTGCGCATAATTTTGTTGCTGAAATAATATGTATATTTCTACACAAAACCAATTTGATATCTTATTTACAGACTTATCTATTAATTTTTTATCCGTTTTATTTTCATTTAAAAATATGATACTTTACAAGCATATTGAAAAGATTCTAATATAGAGAAAAAAATATATTTTATTCTGTTTAAACAAACGATTATCTTTCTCACTTTTTACAAATATTCTAATTTTAATTGATAACATTAAATTGCTCTATTGTCTTATAAAATATTTATATAATCTATTTTGATAAATGTAGAGAACTGATGAAGAAATCTGATAAATCCGATATTTATTTTTGCAACAAACACTTTTTTTCATGTCAAATGAAATATTAAACATTTTCTCATAAATCATTAATTGTATTCAAACATTTAACGATTTAATTTATCACAAATATTAGAATATTGATAATGTGCTAAAAAGTTCTTAATTTCTTTATATAATCCGATGTGTGCAATGTTTAAATCATATTTAATTTTAATTTATAATTTTTAACCTTTTTAGTTTATAGATTGGTTTATAAATATATATTTTTATAAAACTAATTCTATTTTAAAAAACAAAAAATGTTATCTTCGAACGTATCTATGGAAGCGCATATAATTTATCGCGTCATTTAATGTACGATATGATTAGCATCTTGTACGCGAGAAGAAAACACACATTTTCTCGTCCGACGAAGTCGCGACAATTGCTCGCCTTATAATTTAATTTCGCCCGTCCACATTGCTTGAGACAGCTGAAATTACTTACCGGTTGTTCACCGACAACGACACCGATAACCCCAGCCTCCCTCTCATTTCTTTACTAACTCCACCGTGTATCGTCGCACGCATGTAATCTCGTATTTTAATTGCCCATTGCGGCCAATTTAGCTGTAACTCGTCCGTCGTTCCACAGGTCTCGGACAATTGCAGGGCGGCATGACGATGGTAGTTTCGGGCAGCTCGGTCAACAAAGCACGGGAAGTCTGGGTTCCAGTTTAAGTCTCGGCAACTCCGGACTCCCGATCAACAGCCCGTCGCAATCAGTTTACCATACTAATTACGGGCTCAATTCTATCGGTAAGTTACGATGGGAAATAACGTCTCGCAGCCAGAGTCTATACATAGGAGACACAGGAGTAATAAAAACGATATAATTAAAAGTAAAATTACAAATATCGTTAAATTGTTTAACATCAGTTTGCATATCTTTATTTTTTTCCGTTTTTACGGCTTCTTCGAAAATATAAGATACCTCAGACATAACTGTTTAGATGTAAAACAAAAGCGTTATACAGTTATCCACTTTGCTTCTTGAGACGACTCGAGTAACGTTTTACTCGTTGCTTATTCAAGTAAGTTGTACGTGAGTTGTTGCCGAGAGTTGGCGACATGCGCGAACGCGAATAGACACACCCAGGAGAACGTTCGCGTCAACCTGGCCGCTTATATGCGCATTGATAATCGTCTTGCCAAACTTTTGGACCGTGGTCCTCTAAAAAGACGGCGTGCAAACAGCGCCATGGAAGTCTCTTTGACGAAGTCGTTAAACGTTACGGTGCATTAAGGTTCGACGGGGTTATGCGCATGCACGTAAGGAATTTGAGACAGAAACATAAACCCCCGACCTCCCATCTGTTTACGCAGGTAGACTTCAGGCCCGATCTCGCACCTAGGTGCGAGATCTTTCGCTGTATGTTTACCATAACATCCCGATGCAACCTGTCTTGGTTGAGTTACGCTTCGCCTTACCCGGGGGACCTTGTATCTTCAAAGATACTTCATGGGATAAATCGCGTGTGAAATTCCTTCTTTCACCAAATCGCTCTGTACGCCTCGGTCGTAATTCTTGTATTAAGTGCGAAAATTTTTGTTTCATTCATAGAAATACGTATACTGTCTCTCTTTGCGAAGTATATCATACTAATTTACTATTCTCAATAATCCGAGACAGAAATATTTCATTTCAATATTAAGGTGCGAAAAGCTATTAAATACGTAATAAGATTTATATTTTTTAACGCAAAGCGTTATATTTGGTGTATATTAAAATTCGGAATATCTCTATGTATTTAATAATAATGAATCATCGAAAAAAAACTTGTCTCTTTCAATTGCAATAAGTCAGATTTCAACGCTCATAAACCGTGGAAAAATAACGGACTTGCGAGATGGTAACAAGAAACCCGATAATAAGAAAACAGTCTCGCTGTCTTCTCTCAGCATTTTTTTTTTATTTCAGAATATTTCTCAGTAGCTAGTAAATCATATTTAAAAGAGATACGTTGTAAATGAGAGCTCCACTTTTTTACGAATGCATATTGAGACACAATTAAGTCAAGAGTACATTTCATTTCACTATGTATATATATATATATATATATATATATATATATATATGTATTTTGCTAACATAAGTTCAATCAACCCTGAGAGAACAGATCTGTCGATACAAATTCTATTCATAAATTTGTCAAATTTCTTTTAACAAATATGACCTGAGAAAAGAGAAGTGACATCAGATATCAGAATTTACTAAAGTTACAACCGCACATATTGTAAAAGTAAAAATTGTAATCAAATGTAGTAACAACCATTGATTAAAATATTTGATATAGAGTCACATAGAAGCGACATTTTAAAGTTAAGTAAAACATTTATCGAACTGTCCTAAAAAAGCGAAACTTGCGGTAAAAGTCTGGCGTAGCACAATTTCACAAGCTGACTGCATTGTACATCTGGATCATGTGTTTATATCTATATGTATATGTGCTAGAGCGCACGTAACGTTTATACAGTGCCAATTATCGAACGTTATCGTCGGCTAGCGTCACTCGAAAGGAGAAAAAAATTGGCATTCCATGAACGCGTCGGTGTATGAGACGAATACGTCTAGCCCTGAGTCCGGCAACCCGCTATATACGCCTTTATCCGCGGATAATGCTTAGAGCAAACAGCTTTTAGAGTAGAGCGTTATTTTTTGGTTACCAATGATGATTAGCACTGCAATGTAACCCATCCAACAGCATGGTTCCTAGTCGATCGGAGAGTTCCATTTGATGTCTCTTTCTCTTTTTCCTTCTCTCTCTCGGTCTTTTTGCCGGCGGTCACTAGGCGGACGCGCAAATAAGCCTTCATAATGCGTAAATTAACGTTTCAAAATGCCTGATTTTCAGCGCACGCTGCCGCGAGCAATGCAAAAGTCATGTATTTTACTCGACAAAAAATGACATTTATTTTTAATAATAAGCAGCAAATCCTCTTTTCCGCCAGTGATTAATAAAATAAATCAAATAATTTTTAACGACTCAACTGGCATAAAAAATATCTTTATTGTTGGTTAGACATCAAATAAAATTAAGGACGACGTTTCGACACTTGGTTTGGATCCTTCTCAAGTCTAAAAATTACAAACAAAAAATATATATCATTTTTACGAAATAATATAAATCATAGAACGACATAGTTCAGTTGATGTTTTACCATCTTGTCAAAAGGTCGTATTGACACAATTAATTTATATGTGCTTTAATATAGTTTAAATGTTATTTTATTTTAATTTATGTCAGGTCTTTTAATGTTTATACACGGTTTAATGAGCGTTTGTGTTATGCGGTTTATGTAATGTATTTTAAATGACTATTATATAAAGTGTCGTAAATATGATATATATTTTTTGTTTGTAATTTTTAGACTTGAGAGACCCAAACCAAGGGTCGAAACGTCGTCCTTAATTTTATTTGATGTCTAACCAACAATAATATATTTTTTTATGCCAATTGGGTCGTTAAAAATTATTTAATTTATTTATTTTAAAAAGTATACTCTTTTAAACGAAATTAATATATTATCACTGGTAAGCAGTACTTTCAATTATTCGAGTACAGTATTGAAAACAGTGAAGTCTTTCATTGAAAAAAATAGCAATTGATTTTTAAATTAATTTTATCACTTTACTCAATGAAACATATATGTACACAAGATGGAGGAGCAAAGTGTGACTGCTTTCACTGAAGATCGATATTTCACTGATTTTTGATGAAATTTTATCATTGCTTTAATCAAGGACATTTTCGCAGTGAACGAGATTAATTTAGTTTAAAAGAGTATTTATCCCTATATAGAGACACAAATAGAAAAAACACACGTGCTTCAAGTTGCGTATTATATCTTCATTTAATTTCGAATGTGCGTTAAATCATGCATCCTTGAAAAATTTCATCGATTCCGAGTAGCACGAATCAACGTATCAGCCGACAATAAGTCATAAAATCATGTACATCTCGTAGCTATTAGACGTTCATTCTTACGGCTTTTCAAAAGCGGCCGCTGCCGTTAGTCCTCTGCAAACTCGTGTTCGGCGCAACGCACCGTCATAAAAAAATTTCCTCTTTTTCCGTTGTCTTTCAAGCCCACCAGCGTAGCGCGCGAGAAGGCGGAAACGATTTTACGACGGCCGGTAGCGCACCCCTTCGCGCTTTGTCAGCCTATCGTATTAAATATCTCTTCTGCAGAGAAATGAAACGTTCTCTTCTCTGCACCTGCAATATTGCACCTGTAAATTGCCTCCTTTCTACCTGAGTCGTTTCAAGAATCTACTTCGCCTTGTCGGTAGATCCGTCGCAGTTAACTACGACGATAAATGTTTATCCTACGGTATTTATTCACGGTTTATCCCCCAAATACATATTTTTACTGCTCATCAATAATAACGAATTGTCGAGAAATATATATAATTACGAGAAGCCAGAAGGAAGGCAGGATACTTCTTAGTCCTGACAAATAAATCTAATCGAACGAGAAGAGAAACACTCACTTTGATAAATTTGTTCCGCTTAACAGGCGGCGTTCACGTGACGGCGTCTCGGGGTTCGCCACCGGTCGGCGGTCAAGCGATGGGTTCGGGCCTGAACTGCGGCCAGGGTTCGCCGGGCACGACTTCCGGTGGTAGCGGCGGCGGCGGTGGCGGCGGCGGTGGTGGCGGCGGAGGCGGTGGTGTCTCCTGCGTCGGTGCCGATGTAAGCGCGAACGAGGCGTCGGACTGGAGAGGCGCCCACAGCATCGCGGCGCTCAGACGTCGTGCCTCGGACGCCTCGCAGCAATACAGCCCTCAGCCACCACCGCCGCCACCCCCAGGGCCACCTCAGTACACCCACGATCTGGAGTACAGTTCCGTTTATTGAGACATCGCCTGAACGTCCTTTGACGTTCAGTTCCACAAGAGAGCCTGGCGGTAGGAGCTTACCGTAATTATCATGTGTGGAACGAGTACTCCTCTCTGTTCTCCGTCGAGGAAATCGTAAGACAGGACGGTCTTCCCGCGACCTATTTCTACAAGAAGAGCAAGACCGGTTCGACTGGGGATCGTGATTTTAATAATGTGAAGATGTAATGCAGCGAGATCAAGATCGACGATTTGAAAAACGAGCATCCTGAATTTTGACTTGCGCGAAGGTCTAAAATTGTTCACCGTTTTGAATTTAACGTAACCAGTATGGTGAAGCATAGCAAATAACGACGGATAAGATAATTTTGGGTGGCAATGTTTTGACCGGAAAGGGTTTATAATAATTTAATCATTAAGATATCACAATGAGAATTTCTATTCTTCAGATAACATGAATTCGTCGTCCTGTCAGAAGAAACAGTTGCAGGAATAATATGAAGAATTCACACGAAAGGAGTACTCTTTTATAAATTCGCACAGAGGTAAAATCAGGGTAGAAAATCGAAATTGCTGGCGGTATCGACAACGATAATTTATGCAATACAGATTCTCGTCATCATAGCTTTCCTAGGACCATCGTGACTTAAGGTAAACGTACCAGTTTCTCGACAAAATCGATTCCTTAACAAGAAATTGCATTTTTATTAAAATTAAATTTTTTTTAATCTACATCTTTAGAAATATATAAAATTATGAATTTATAAAATAAAATAAAATATTTAGATTTGAAGGAGAAAAACACTTTGTATAGGAAATATTAATCATATTTTTTAAAAAACTTTTTCTGGAGAAATATTTAGAGAGAAAACGTTTTTTTTTTAATACGATTACTATGTCATGTACGAAATGTTTGGCTCGTCAAAATCTAAATATTACGTTTGATTTTGTAAATTTGTATTTTTCAAGATATTAAATAAATTTAATATTAATGCATATTAATGCATATTAATGCATATTTGTTTAAGTATCGATATTTCTCAAAAACTGATACGTTTATCTTACGTACGACATATGTATACCGCAGTTTCTGCAAATGTGTCTTGCTGATATCAATACTGGATTAATCATCGATTGGATGCCATAAATATAAGAAAGATAGAATAATTGATGTATATCATGGAGTTGTCGTAATAATTAAAATTATATGAGATGGAGAAATATTTCCGATAAGTATTATCTAGTCAAATATTTGTTAATTTGTGTAACAGGTGTAAATATCATTTTATATTTTAGCGGAAAAAAATTGAACCATTGGCATATACATCTTACCCTTGTATCAAATTATATCGTATATTAATATCATAAATAATTTTTTTTTTTTTGTAACAAGTTAATTGAAGAGAAATTGTAGAAATTTCTAAATGGATTTTCTGTGTTTTACGACAATTGATGAAAACTTATTCAGTAAAATAAAAGTGATTTTTGTCCAGTGTTTTCAAAAATTCAATCTAATCACGACAGCTCCAAATATTTAATAATGGCCAATGACTGATGTTTTCCATATGACCAGTTTTATTATAATATCAAGCGCTCTGACCACTGGAAATTTATTGCAATTATCATGAGTCCGAGTATTTCCGAATGAATCCGAATATCTATATGATTAAAATATGATCCATCAAAGTATGGAGTAACTATTTTTGTGAGCGATTGAACGCATTATCCTAATAATCATATTGAGCTGTCGACGATGGAAGGAACGAATTGTGATCTGTGCAGATTTTTGTGACACGAGGAATATCGCGATATATATGTTTTTCTCAAAAAGAAGAAAAATTAAATCGTAAACGTAACAGAGACCAGCTTTTTCGCGAACGGACTTGTCTTGGGTTGGCGCTGTGCGCTGGTAAAAAGATCGAGATGGCTACTTCATATATGCATATATTAATATGATCACCGAGTGTCCGCGTCCGACAATTTGATCGGCTCCATGTATTCGTGCGCGTGTTAATTTATCTCTTCAAGAGATGAGAAACTCCATCTCTTTTGTCGTATTGACCGGTGCGATTTGCAGTCGCCATTAAAACGCAGTCGTTAAACTCTGCTCGTTTCGCCCTCGTTAGTGGCATTTTGAGTGTCTGCGCTCGTGTCTGCTAAAGAAACGTCGATGAGATTAAGGCCTCGCTAATTGTAAATTATTTAACCACGTTCCGAAGAATGACTATGTGACAAACTGATTAGGGCGCGGATATTCGCCACGCGATTCTTATTTACACTCGTTTCGTTTCTTCTTTCTTGCGAGCATATCTCGCTCAACGATTAAACGCGACGAAAAGTGCACGTTGCATTTACAAGTCATGGAGATCAAAGCGGAAGGCGTGGCGAGGTGCAATGAGATGTATACGACAAGTTATCCTAGTATTATATATACACGGCATTGTAAATATAGTAAAAATATTGACGTGATAGAGGATATATTATTATTATTATTACCATTATTCGAAACGTAAATGCGACAGAGCTATTGGCTCTTATTGTTCACAGATTTTTTGCAACGCATCGCAATATTGTTTAACGAGACTGTATGTGCAGATTCGTAGTTTTTTGTCTCGAGAATAATATTCTTTTATCAAATTTTGGCATTTATACATAGTTATATTTTTGGCAGAGCCTTAAATTTGCGCAAAAATCAATTTTTAAATATTTCTATTTGTTATGGCAGAATTTTTGTGTATCACGCATATCTGTCATACTAAAACAACCGAGGAAAAAAAATTTTATCTCATAAAAATGTAGAATAACAATTTTTTTATTTTAGACGTGACAAGAGACGAGAAGTGTTTTTTAGATGAACATAAATGTGAATCTTCTTTACACTATACACATCGTTAGTTTTAATGAAAAATTGATTTGGTTTAAAAATTGTGTAAAAATGAATTGGTTCTTCTAGTATTAAGACGATAGCAAAGTTTCTCAATAATTCTATTGCCCAACAAGGAATCGTATGTTAATATGCGCAACGAAAAGCTAGTCTTTCTTGTCACGACTTTGCGTTTCAGATGAAAATCGCACACTGGATCTTATGTGCAGAGATAAACGCATATATGTAACTCATCCTATAATTTCTTTTGCGAGAGCGCATTAAAGAGAAGAAGAGATGTGCTTCGTTTGATAAGTCAGAGATAAAATAAAAAGCGTATCACTCGTCGCATTCTCTCGAAGATAAATGTTTCGATGATGAATGCAAGTTAGCGTACAATTCATGTGTATTTATATTCCTGAAGAATTTTATGGCACGCTATAAGTATACATATACATTGTTCCGTTGTTGTCATCGAGAAACATAAGTTTTGTAAATAAAGTATACGTCTAATAACGATAATAACAATAATAATAATAACAACAATAATTATAATAATAATTATACAACGATAACAATAATATTAATATTAATATTAATAATAACAATAATAATGTAATAAGAGTACGATGGCATCAACATTACGATTGAACGCGAGTATACATGGACATTGTGATATATTTCGGGCTGGCCGTGCATTTTTCTGACGGCGATATTGGCCCGCACAAGATATTCCAAGCGATATAAATGGTAGATATTGCGAGCGACTGCGAAAAGTCGATTATTCTAGTTACGAATTTACGGTAGACCTAGGTAAACCTAACTATAAATATGGAATAACAGATAGGCAATTGTCAGTGTCATCACTACGAACGTATACGATTTTTAATGTACAAACAAAAAAATACGAGCGCGGTGCGCGAAAGCGTCCTCTCTCGATTTCGTCCCGGGACGGAAGCAGGACCTTTACAATGTTCACTGGAGTGTGTTTGTGATTTCTTATTTTCAAATATTTCGTGCAATACTTTGTCGTTGAGCATGCATTCCTTTAGCGTAGAAAGGAAAGACTATTCTATTTGGCGAGCTTCATTTTGTGTTGTATAATTAAATTGACATATTGTCAATCATTACAAAGGGTATCGTATAAGATCATCGACTAATTGAAAAATGATTTTCTAAAAAGGGTTCTAATGTTCAACTATTTATCTATCCTCACATAAAATGTAATTAATGAATCGGATAAAAAAACGACAGGAATTTTGAGTATTATGATAAACATACTGATTGATACAATTTATTTGTGATGCGCTTTATATAATTGAAATACGTATAAAATTCAAAATCAAGCATATGTGCGTCTTTAATTTTACAAGTCGAAAGATGAATATTTCAAACTTATCTATTTTTGAGTCTATGCAACCAACTGGATTCGTTCCTTCCTCTGTTGGATTTGAATAATACGAGAGCTCTCAGATCGGTGTCCTTGATGATCGTAATACCTCTCCTTAAACGAAAAAAGAGAATACAATTTATGTATTTATTTAATTTATCATGCGTGTGTGTAGATAGATTTCAAAGCGAGTAAAAGTTGACGTCCTTTGATTTGCGGCAATTGCGGGCGTCACTTTTTACAAGTGATTTGTAACATACGGGCTCTGCTGATCGTACGTTTAAGTGTTTCATGCAGAAGTTAACTCGAATCGTACAGTCCGCAGACGTCACCCGATTCTTCCAGATTTGATTGCAAATCGGAAGAGAATCGACTGACTTTATCGCATCTTTATCACAAATCATTATCGTCGATGACTTTAATTAGCGATAAATAGACAGAATTTTAATTTTCATCGTTGTATAGTTGTGTATAGAGGTCAACTAAGTGTGTATAAAATAAATCATTATCAAAATATCGAATGCTTTTTGTCTCGCTCCTGTCCATTCTATTGTTCAGAAATCAATTTTAATAATAATTAATATTAATTATTTGTATCCAATATATACATGTTATATTATGTACTAAAGTGGAACAATACAAACGCAGTTTTAATTAAAAATATATATTTTTATATATTTATGTAGATACATGGATTATACATACGATTTTACATGTTGTATAGAGAATGCATTGTTGCATTGTTTTAAATGCGCGAAATCTATTAAAAGTCTATTAAAAATTAAAGTGATACTATATTATATTGATCTAAATTAACATTTGTTACAAAATGAGAATACAATTAAATCGTCTATATATTTTATGCATTAGCTTATAAATAATGCTACGACGATACATAATGAAGTTAAATCAGTAACTACTATCGAGAAACGAACGAATTTGATGTAAAGCAAAAATATATAAATAGTAAATAAATATATAGAAAAATACAATATATATATATATATATATATATATATATATATACATATAACTTAAGTATGAGCAATAAAATACAAAGAACAATAGGTATTAGAATTAGATAAAAAATTATTTTTTTAATTTTGTGTATTGATATAATATCTTTTCACTAGTGATATGTTGATAAAACAATACATTCATATAATTTTTGTATTTATATACAAATTAGTGAATGATTCGGATGTTGTCGCATACACAATGTGCATTTTATTTGCTATTGTCTGCAATATCAGATAAAATCAGATAGATATATATTAAACATGTGCATGTATTAATTTTATAAACTGATATAATGTAATAGTAATTCTTCTTGTTCAATATAAAATTTAATATTAATAATAAGTAAAAGATTAAGTTAATTTAAAAATTTATATTGACGTCCTATCACCCAATTTAAATTTAAATTTAAATTTATGATACATAAATATATAAAATATATATATATAAATATATATATATATATACAAGTGTAATACACAATTAAACTCAATAATTTTTCTCTCTTACTTATATTTTAAATATAATAATAACAAATAAATTATATATCAGGTACAATTAATAGACTTAGTGAAAATATAATAATATCTGAAGAAGCAATTTTATTGTAGCTTGATTTACATCTTTATTACTTTCTGCGTTTATGTAATTCAAATCGATCTGTTCTTATCGCTTTTTTTCATTTTTCTTTTTTAAGTCCTTTGTAGAATATTTGTATATATAGATGTAAATAACGGAATTGCAATTATAATCACCGACTATATGCTATTAGAAGCTAATAATCTAATGACAAATAGTGACAAAAAATTTTGTTGCACGCTATATAATATAACTGTAAATATATACATATATATATATATATATATAAATATCTTTTTATTATCAACATTAAAATAGGGATATGACTTAAATAGTGTAAAACGATAATGTTTATATTATCTTCCTGGAAGATTATATAAAAGTGTACATGTTAATTGGAGAAAATGAAAACACTCGTGTTGTTATCCTTTGGTTCAACAAAAAACCTTTGATATATATATGTATTAATATATTTATCAAATCGACTTCATTTGATAGTCACAAAATTTCCTTAAAAGCGACGGTCTTTAATATTACTTCGTCAGTGTATATGACAAAATATTAATAAAATTGATATTAATAAAAAAATGATATTTTGGTTTTATAAATGTGATACGTATTCGAGTCGATAATGTCAGATTTCTGTATATATTCGACAGTCGGTAAAGTAACTCGCTCGCGTACCATCCGGGATTGATGCTAGTAATCGTCAGCGCCATGTTGGTTTGTAGCGCCAAGTCATTTGGGCGCCAAGTCGAGAGTCGGTCGGACACCAAATTGAGTGCGCGCAATTGAGTCGCGTTTCGATACGGTAATACTGTTATTTGCGTGATTTGTGTAGTTTCGACGTGCGTGTTTGCGTAATTTAAATAACCTTCGCGAGACTGTTCTCGGGATGTTCGTCCTCCGATGTTTCCGGCTCCGTATTCAGTTTGCTGAAGTCGCGAGTGTTTGGTCGTTTCTCCAAAAATTTGAAGCTCCTGCCTCGTCGGTTCTCCAACAGACTCGACAGCTTAAAGTTTTCACGTCTCTCAGCTTCCCAGCGCATCCTTTTCCGCATTGTAAGTAAACATCCTGCATGAATAAAGCGTATGTAGATATTTGCTTGATATTTATGTGCGAAAGGTATTGCAAGAGATACACGCTATAGAAGTAGCGCTATATAAAATAGTGGATGTTTCTATTACACAAGCTCATGCGTGTGATTTCAAATTTTGAGACAGAGATGCGATATTTCTTGTATAACTACACTCTCTTTATGCATTCTAATATTGTTTTATCTGATATCGACAATATTTGACATTGATATTTATTTTGGAAAAAGAGAAATTCAGATACATATTTAATTGTGTCTTTTTTATCAAATTAACGTGAAAAATATTTATTATCTAGGTGAATATAATTAGAACTAATAACTTCAAACCATTTACTCTAGCAATATATTCAAACAGTTTTTAATAATTATGGTAAAAATTAAAAATTATAATTATATAAAAGCTTCAGAAAAATTATTGAACATTAATTTCATATATTCTAAATATATGATTTATTAATCCACTTATTACTTTTTGCTTTAAGGATTAATGTCTCATTATCAACTTTTAAATATAAACTCACAAGCTTTGAACAAGTATGCGTACAGACAAAATAAATATTTAATGAAACTAAAATTATATATTTCTTTATAGTGAATTAAATTATACATAAAACAAGTAACCAATACAAAGGAAAGGTAAAAATTTTAAAAAGGTAGTGTACAATAAAATTCATATACATACAATAATATACAGAAATCTGCTAAAAAAATTAACATATATCTCATATAAATTTTTAAAAATTAAACTTACAAGATACATAAATACATAAAATGCATAATGCCATGCTTTCTAGGTAAGGTGCACATAAGAAACATACATCAAAGCTTTTATACATAAGAATAAATTATTTCGAATAAGCAAACACATACAATTTGCGTATATAGTAATAGGAACAATCTAATTTTGCTACAAGATATTCTTAATTGTTAAAATTGAATAACATAATTGTATTATTATGATATGTGATGTGATTCAATCAAATATGAATTAATAAAAACAAAATCTGTGCACATACACAACTATAAATATAAACAAATATAAGTAGATCCCTTTTTCCTGTTGTATTATATCATAAAGTAACTGTACTTTTTATAATTTATTTTTATTAAATATTCTAATGAGCAACGGGAAAAAAGGAGCATATTTAATATGTATATTATGATACAAAAAACAAAAATGCTATATAATGAAAAAAGCACAGTGAAATGAATTTTTTTCTATTCGACTAATTTAGAAAATTCAATTGGTGATTCTTCATAACGATATCTTGTTTCTCTACCTCTTTTTTGACATCTTGCTACAATGGCAGCAATTGCAACACATATTGTAATAAAAGAAATGGCTGCTGAGCCAAGACCTAGAATCAATTTCGTCATATTAGTCTTTTCAATATCGGCATCTTTAGTATCAGGATGTACTAAGATCTTAGGTCGATGCCGTTTAATAGATTGTGAATCTTCAAGATGTACAGAATCATTTACACCTAGAAAAGAAAAAGATAGTATTTAAATACAAGTAAAGAAAGATTTTAATGAATTCTTTTTATATTTAATAATATTATACCTTGTAAAAATCTGTAAATTTGGTGATTATTTAACTCTACTACATATATCTCTGATCCATCTTCCGTCACATAAAGATCATGAGGCTTATCCATATTTCCCTTAGGTGCAAACACTGACAATATATTTCCAGAATAGATATCAAGCACAAAACCTCTTACTGGTATTGGATTAATTGGGTTATATAGATCTTGTCCATTGACTAGATATAATTTTTCTCGAGCATAGCTAACACTATAAATTTGTGCACCGATAGCAGGGTCCCTGTATTCTTTATGGAATGTACCATTGCTCGCAAAGAAACATAATATTCTGCCATTTTCTCTGTCAGCAACATAAATATAATTCAACTCACTCGCGAGTGCTAAAGCATGTGGGACGAGAAATGCGTTTGGTGGAGGCAACTGCGAATAGACAGGCTCTAAAACAAAGTTTATTTTAGAATTTAATTAGTTCTCGCTTAGTGCTATCAATGTATCAATTTTATATCTATTACCTCCAGCACCCCAATGTCGTCCCCAATGTAGAATTCGCTCTCCATTCTTATTAAACTTAATTATTCTAGAATTGCAATATCCATCGCTGACAAAAAAATCGCCATTAGTATGTACAGCAACAGCTGTTGGTTTACAAAATCTTGTTTCATCATTACCAGGCACAAAAGCCTCTCCCAGTATTATAGATGGCTTTAATATGCTATTTATATTAGTGTGATCGCTAGATACACCAGTCATTGAAGTAAACTGTGTGCGTTTCAATTCTTCCATATGCTTTTCTATATCTTGAGCATTAAATTTAAATACCTGATGCATCGCTACATCAGTAATCCAATAATTTCCAGACTTATCAATGGTTAAACCATGTGGAAGATAAAACATGTTTTTTCCAAATTCTAGTATTACCTTTCCACTTTTATTCAAAAGGACAATTGTATTCTGTGTTATGGGCCCATTATTTGGATCAAATCTGTTTCTATTGTCAAAAGTATCAGGTCCCCAAATACGGTTTCCTCTATGAAAAATAGCAATATTGCCATATGGATCCATAGAAACTGCTGACATTTGAGTCAGCTTCAATTGTGCAGCCCAATGCACATCCCATGCTATGTCTGATAAAAATGTACAGAAATATAAAGTTAAATAGATTTTTCTATAGAAATGAATAAATACTTACTTTTGTCTAAAGCATCTGTAATTACTGAGTCTTCTTTATCAAGGTGGCTATTTCCTCGTAAATATAAATTGTCTTTTATATGTTGTTGTTCATCCTGTTGCATCATGGATACTCTATCCTCATTGTCAGGATATTCCGAGTATTCATTTGAATTAAACTTAATATCAGGTAAATGCTGTAAAAAAAGAAGTTTTTTTTGTTACATATTTATGTACACAATCTCACAAAATAATTTTTATTCCCATAAAAATTCAATATATATGAGAGTATTATATAACACATGTATATGAAATTAATCTTAAATATTATTGATTTTTCTCTTTGTCTTGTAAAATATTTATTCATATAATTACCTGAACATTCGAAATATCCTGTGGTTCTGTCTTGACGTGTATTAAAATAGGAAATAAAACTAAAACCGAACAGATGGTGCCATATCGAAGACTTGTCATCATTTCGCAAAACCGTCATGTGCTCGTCCGTATTTTCAATTTATCTCATCATCAATATCCTAAATAACAATAGCATCTGCGATATTAGATGCATAATTTTACAAGATTACGAAAGTATTCTAGCGAATCACATTAAATTCTTGGAGAAGTCGCGTCTGTCACACTTTGGTATGTTCACATATGATAAACTGAATGCTGGCTTTTCTCGTTAGATTACTATCACTCAAAATATCTTATAATATGATGAATGCTATTTAAAATGTCTACTCCTGGTCTATTTTATGAAAAACATTTATTATTGTGTCCACGTCTCAAGAAAATACACGTTTCCAACAAGTGGCATTAGACATGACGCCATAATATTTTGGCATAGTTTTATCGACGTATCTTGCATGACTTCTTGATTTCGATTGATGGTACACATTACAGATTGAGAACATGTTTCACATTGTTTACGTGTAAAGGCGCTACATGTATTATTTTGTTACATATCGTTGATAGAAAGAATGTTTATCGAATGCTAAATTTATTTTTTCTTTAAATCATAATTTAAAATAAGATTCTATTTTTCACAATTTTTAATTTTTAGCATCAAGTGTAATAATTGAGTTATAAATTAAATTTCTCTTAAAGTATGAACTCAAAATTAAACAATATGTTTTTACTTATTCATGTTTTTCTAACATTAATTTTTTAATTTATTTATTTTCTTTTATTATTATTAAAACTATTATTTAATATTAAACATCATATAAGTTGTGAATACATGATTGATGTAATAGATTGATAATTGTATTTTGTAGATGCTACAATTCATAAATTATATATATTATAATGTGAATGTAATGTGAATGTGATTCTATTGTGTAAACATTAATCAAATCGAATCAAATATTAGTCAATAACGCGAATAAAAATTACAAATCCATAATATAATATATATAGAAATCTTTTATTTATTTAAGAAATTCATTCACTGAATTTTACGAAACTTTTATTTATATAAAATTCTTTGTACTGTTATTTGGAGATGTTTTAACTTACCAAACAACTTTGCAATCGCGGAGAAATGTAACTTTCAGTATTGCACTTACTTTTTGCTTCGTACATATAGCAATCTTTCGTATTGATAGAAGTTATATTGTATTTGTTATTACATCATCAAAATTGAATTCTGATATCTATCTTTTAATATTTTCCATACACAAATATATATTATATGTATATATATATATATATATATATATATATATATATATATGTAACTATTATTTTCTTAGTAGTACGTAATATGTGCGTAATCATTATTTTTAGTTAGTTTATAAATATATGAATATCTCGTATGTAGATTGTTTGAAAGATTCATATTACACACATTATATATATATGCCTATATTTAAATTATGTACGCATATTTATATTCGAATTTACATTAGTGTAATATAATCATAAAATATAAATATCGTGAAGAATCTGTACAATCGTATATGTATAAATCAAGAATCGATTTACACGTTTACAGTAAGAGTTGAAAAGAAAGTATGTGCAAAATATAATTTAAATCAACTATATCACTGAGGGTTAAATTAAATTTTTTATCCGCAATGTTTAAAATGACATGTATTTTCGAACGAAATTTTCTTGACAGTTGGATATGTACAAGGCTTAGACTCATTGATAGCTTCTATTATAGATTTGCCAATATAATTTACCCTTTCCTTTAATTCTCGTACGAATGAAAAGCCTCAGTGTTTGAATGTTTCGCAATCCAATACAGTCTACAACTACCAGACGATGTCGCAGGAATTCGTCGCGAGAATTTCCCGACATGGTTTCGTCTGGAAGGGCTGAGTTTATATCGGAATCAATGCAGTCTCGTTCGATCATGTCTGACATACCTTGTATACAGCCTTCCTTGCATGCCTTATAGTTCGAATACACGAATACGTGATTATTCTATGCCTATTGAGCTTTATTTTCGTAGAAAAGATTAACTTCACGATTAAATTTTTTGTTCTTAATGTGCCAAGAGAGTTGAAAAAGAAACTTTACTTCTCGAATATGGTTGGGATAAAATTTTCAAATCGCCGGGATATATATCCAAGTGAAAGCACTTACAGTAATAAGGCCCCGAAGTTAATTAGAAAACGCAAGTTTTTTTACGATAATAAAGCAATTATATTTTTTTGGATGATTTTTGTGTCGATTAATTTAAAATCAAGATAACATTAATTCTCGAACAAAGCGACATAACTGTGTCATTTGAGTTTTAATCAATTTTATAATACGCATTGTCGGTACAAATGACGCAACGTTTCAAATCATTATCATTAGGATAGCGGTTGTTCTATTACAGGGTGTCTAGTGGTTAGGGAAATCTGGAAAACCGGGCATTGTCAGGGAATTTTATTTGCAATTGTTAGTGAAAAGTCAGGAAATTTTATTATTTATCTGGATTTTTTTTACATTCCACATTTGTCTCAATAATTTGAAATTTTTTATTAAATAAATATAAACTTTTCCTTGACTCCCAGCACGCTAATTTTCTGTGTTGTTAAAAATCGATTTATCTACAGCGTGTTCGTTAATTTATATTTTTATCGTCGTGTTATTTTATTTCAATGTGTTTTTGTTAGAGACACAACTAAAAATTTAATATAATATAAATAAAAATGGTGATTATTTAAATAGTTTATAGTGACATGTTTATTTTGATTATCGTATATAATGCAGATTCTATAATTGATTTAAATTTTTGTTTTAACTTCCGAATCTTTTCATTGTTGACAAAAATATCTCAAATAACATTTAATTGATTTAAATGTTATTTAAAAAATTCCCTGACTTTTTCAGGTTTTCCAAGACTGCAAAAATTAATTTTTTCCTTTTTAGTATTATTTTTTCTAAATATATAATTTGCATATATTTATATAAATAGATATTTGCAAATTATATATTTGGAAAAAATAATACTAAAAAGTCATGCAGGAAAAAAATTAATGTCTAGTCTTGGAAAATCTGAAAAAGGGAATTTTTTTATTGAGTCTACTCGACACCCTGTATTATATTCATTGTACTATCCCTGTCATTTTTCGCGAAGTATACGCAAGATGCGTTAAAGTACCATCGGGGAGATCCAACAATAGCGGTGCTCATCCTTTCGTTAGACCAAGAGCCGCATTTGATTTCGCATTCATCGCGCTGTCTGCATCGACGCCGAGTTTTCACCTTAAATTGCAGACGACAGCGAGTTCTTTATTACGGTGAAAGAGAGCGGGATTGTCAGCCGCAATAAACATATAAAGAGATGTAGGACCTTTGGCGTATCGCGTTGAAAAATCCCACGTTCGATTATGAGCGACATCACGAGCTCTTCTCGTCGTAGGACAACGAAAGGATTTGACAATCGTTTTGTCTCTCCCCTTTTTTCGCTCTATCCTTCCCATTTCTCGTGCCTCCTCCTGTCTACGTTTCATTTATCTTCTTTTGGGGAACGCACTGCAACGGGTGAGAGAGAGACTAAGCTTGTAAAACCATTTAGTGTGGTCCTGAAAAAATAAAGAAAATTCAACTGTCTCTATTTCTATGCTAAATAGTTAGGCGCGCCATACAAATGTATTCGCAATAATTTTTAATATCGTGGTTATATGTTTAATATATTTTTGCTCTTTTTTATGTTCTTTTTTTTAAATATTTGGCTTAAGTTCTGTACAGCCTTTTAGAAATAAACAGAGAACTTTAAAAAAATTCTATTTTCGAGGAATATTAAATTTATCAATATAGATATCAATTTTTTTAAAGATGAAGGATTATCAAATAAAAGAGTGCGTTTACAGAAATATTTTTTTTCGTAATTGTAAATTCCCTGAAAAGATAAAATTAATGAATAAATTTTATCTAACTTTGTTGTCCACGTCGAATACTATGTCATTCATAAAATGTATAAATATATATATAATCTTCTCTTTTGCCTATATTTAAATTAAATAATAAATATATAATTTTTAATTACACACACACGTATTTATATACATATACGTATAAGATAATTGAAAAATACATATTTTTACGATCTGAAGGCACTCTCTCTTCCCGAGATTGTACTATTGAATATTGTTGTTGTTTTCAAATATATCATGATGATTTGTGCGGATTTTGTCAGTTGGCAAGGAAAATGCAGCAACGAAATGCAAACGCGCGCGCGGATGCAATTCGCAGAGATTCTTTAATCTCACCGCGTGATTCGCGTATCTGTGACGGTCGTTCGCGTAGATACAACTGCCGTGTATCGAGTTTGGTTTCACGCGCTTTAGCGTTTAAATTGCGGAATCGGTGCCTGCCTTTGATAATCGCGGGATAAACGGAGGTTCGCAGCTATCTATGCGCGGGAAATAGCGGGTGTGCAATTCTGCACACGTCATAGAGAAATGACTGATATTTATTGTAAAAAATATACAACACATATCTTTCAAATATATCTTTATTTATGTATTGCTTATGTAAATGTGTGTGTAAAAAGATCTGAAGAGACGTGAAATACTTTCAAAATTTTAATGTGGGAGTTTTGGTTATTCTCTAAAGAATTTCCAATATATCTCAATAAAATTTTTGCAATTTAATATATGTATAAAGAATAGTTTTCTGAATATTTTTATCGAGTGCCAGATTCATATTTTTATTATACCGTATTACACCGAAAACTTGACGAAATTTTTATTCTTACATAAAATCGAAATCTATTTGAGTACTTTTATAATACATTTTCGTAATTCTTGAAGACGCAATAGAATTCTTTAGAAAACGTCACACTTCTGAGAAGTAAAATTTAATCCATAACAACCTTTACAAAATTTTCACTCGAGAATTGAAAAATCGCCAGAACATTTTCGCAATATTTCTGAAACGCGTTTGCATGTTACATGTGATCTATCATCGCGAAAAGGTGAGAAGAGATTAAAAGAAGATTAAAAAATCATGAAACGATATTATATATGTATATTGGAGACCGCGCTGAAATCTCGGTCAACAAATTTCACTGACGGTCTCCTGTCAAGAAAATAAGTTCGCCAGAGGAGTTCCAACCCATACCGTTAAAAGCACCACCGATCGATAACGCATGCAGCGCGCTCGTAATAATAAATTATCTAGACGCGAAGAGAGCGAAATGGCGATCTGACTGATAACGTCAACAAGTTAGAGTATCTTAAGATTGCTAAAACGATTCCTATTTGTGTGGCCTTTGTTTCGATACTAACAATAAGAGATTTCCGTGCAAAATAAAAATGTATACATATGCAATTTTTTTGTCATTTATCTTATGTCAAAGTTCTTTTAGACAGTATATTTCACCTAATTTTTTTTTACATTTTTAAA